ACGGGATAGCAGATGAGCGATTGTAGTCGTATGATGGGTTGATTTTTAGAAGGTGGGGCTGGGGGACTGCGAGGGTAGGGGGGGAGGGAGGTGGTTGGCGGGTGGGGGGGGGGGGGGAGGGGGGGGGTGGGGGGGGGGGGTGGGGGAGGCTACAAGAAGGCTCTGTCCAAAAGGGTACCTTTTTTAGGCTTCAAGTATATTCCAATGGAACCTCGATTTAACAGACCTCTAATGAGGTCCTCGGTATAATGAACGATATTCCTAGCCCCACTAATAGTAAAATATATGGAACAGAACCTTGATATATATGAAACCTCCTTATGGTAAACATATTACATTAGCCACTTGGCCCTTCGTTATATCGAGGATCCACTGTGAAGGGTAGGGATTTCACAAGTTGAAGTATATGAAAGGGAAGGGAAATCTGTCATTCTGGGGTGTAAAAAGGCCCAAAAGCAGGAGCGTAGCATCCATTTACGAGGGGGCGTAAGGGTTTGCGGTATTGCGGCTTTGTGTTATTTTTGGTGTGGTGTTGCAGTAATTTTTACTTCAAAGAACGGTATTGTGGTTTTCAGAGTCCAAGCAGTATGCGGTGAGTTTAAATTTTATATTGCGGTAGTCGGTGAAAAATTATTGTGTCGCGGTGATCTGCTTCTTTTTCATGACAAGAGGATACAAATCCTAAAAGGTCTCCCTAGCTAACCCGCGTGTCTTCCTATAGTTGCACCGTCGGGGATTGTATATTGTGCAAACAGTCCAGACAAATCGTATGGCGTATAATTTCAGTTAATACTTGATAAGATTAACGACATTAACTTTTTTATCCAATGATACGTAAACATGTCGCCCTCACGTGTCTCCCTCGCGCGCGCCCATTCTCTCTTTCGCCCACTACTTCCAAGCGTCTGCTAGGCAGGCTACATTATTTGTGACCTCATGGACCTTGTGGGAATAGTTAGCTTGGTTAACCTCCTTAACAATCTTACCACCACTTTCGTGCCAGTCGCAAAACAATGGCGAGCGATCCAGAGGGTCAGCTAAGTGATCAGTCAGATATTCCAGTCACTGAGGTCATTATAAATTGCGTAGTGTCAAAAGATAATCTATGAAGATGGCGTGGTTTAAAAATTACTACTCGTCCTTCTTGTTGTGCATGCAGAATATAGAATGTACAAGTATTCGTGTGTGTTAATAGCCTACGTAGCATGGCAGCCGGGGGGCGGGGGGGACTTGCTTATAAGAGGCTAATGGGGATGCACTGCTGGATTGGGTTGCATTTTCACGAGTGTATTGACTATAACGAGGTCGCATTTTCAAGAGAGTTACTAGCTATAGAATGGGGTCGCGCATTTTTTGATTTTTTGGGCTAAGACCGACTCGTTCTTCATATTAATGGTTAGCAAACGTACCAGAATGTTTGTACTGTAGATGACAAGTAAAGTGTTCTTCATTCCATCTAAAAATGGTCAATTCATAAAACCAGAAAGTGACTATTTTAAAGCGGGGATCGCGAAAATTAAATATTTGTCCAAAAGTGACTAAGATGGGGTCTATAATTGGCCACAGAATAGACTATAATGGGGTAGGGGCTCTAAGGGGCCAGCATCACATACCCAGCAAAAATTAACGCAAGTACCCCCGTTGTATCATTTACGTAAACGTATACAATAACATGAACAAAATTAAACTAGTGCGATGATCTTATGTTTATTGCACTCTTGACTTCGACGCACCTTGACTTGGAAACACTGATATAAAAGTATTATTTCTATTTGAAAGGAGGATTTGTAGTATTGGAAAGGAGGATTTGTAGTATGTGACAGAATTTGCCCATCTGAGGGGTAAACATTTCGCCTGTTGCTTGTAACCTCCTTGATCTTGTTACTGTTTTACCCTTTTTCTGTTATCATGAATGTACCTTACTGATAACACTAGAGGTGGGTAAAATAAACAACCGAGAGAGAATGACTTGAAACAACCAGATTCATTTTAATAAGGCTGTGAAAAACTGGTGAAACATTCTGGCATTGTGATTTGTTTTCAAAGGCAGTGCATTATACAGCAGTTTAAAGGAATATAAAGTTCTAAACTTGGTATGTGAAAGGGGTAACATTTGCCAATAGAAGGTATACGAAGAGGGGTACCTTTTCCAAGGCTGTGCTCTAGCAGAGCCCGGTGGCCCCTGGCGCCTCACTTTTGCTCTTGGGTGACTAGAAAATCTCAGATTTTTCACGCGAATCATATGCTGGGCAGCAGGGAATTTACAGGTTCAGATAACTGGTCTCCTTTCAATGTTCCTTAGAGCACAGCCTTGTTTTCTGTCAAAAATAGTACTTAAGGGGTTGGACCTCGGGGTGGAGCCTCCCCCTACGAGACTTTGTTAAGCACCCCCCACCACCACTACCCCTCCCGATCCCCCGGGCTTTGAATCCGGAAGTAAGCCTCAAAGGTCATGTAAAATATAGCTAAAAGAAATTTTGTTAATGTTCAAAGCAAGAAAACTTTTACCTCTAAACTCTGGTGTGAAGAAAAGCGTCTGCAGTAAAGAATTTAGATAACAAGTGGCTCCCTGGTTCTGCAAGCCACAGATTCCTGTTTCTCCTCTCGGCGCAGGCGGACACTGAGGTTTAGAAACTCCTTGGTGAGGATTCTGTGATGATTTTTCGAGTACGGTTTCTTCTTCATCTTCCTTATTTTCGAATAGAGAGCCGAACATAATTTAGTCCAACGTAATGAAAGCTAACTGTCAGCTTCCTTGAGTGCACATTGCACTATCAGAAAGAAAGTTTCCTCTTTCAATTGCTGTCAACCGCCATCTTGGATTACTTTCTGTTTAGGAGCCCGCGATCAAACGCTCTATCGTTGGTAGGTACTTCATATATGATTCCTATAGTGTACCGATATATAGATTTTTCTTCTTCTCGTGTACCGAGGTACTTGGCCTACTTCTTTCCCTACTACCCCAGAGGAAAAACATTGTATCTGGGTGAAGCCCGGGGGGTGAAGGAGGGAGAGTATAGTCACAGGTAAATGTTTAATGTTTCCTAAAAAAGAAACAAATTATATTTTTTGGACAGTATTAAAACCCTGTCTGGTGATACATGCTGCTAATTTCCATTTTTCGCTAGATTTTGAACTGAACGACAGTGCCTTTCGAGACCCGTGATAATGAATCCTAACCCCTCCCCACGCAATATTTGTATGTGCTTTCAATATGGCGGGCAACCAAAAAAACGTCCAAAACGTGATGGCTTGACGGTTATATTTTGACGAGAAACTACGGGCTCATTGACTTATTCCAGACACATTTCGATGTAATATGTAAATGAAAACTTGGCCAGTGTAAAAGAGTCGAAGCTATGAAAATTCCATACCCGTAAATAACTTTCCCGATATTCCATGTTGTCCTTCTACAGCTGCCTTCTATTATTGAACGATCGCGATCCTCTGGAAGAATGTCAAAGACAGAGATAAATTCTGATGATATGCTGGGATTAGAGCAAGAGCAGGATAATGGACACTCAAGAACATCTTCCAAGTTGGGAAAGGTTATTCTAGGTGTGACAGGTGCAGCGGCAATTGGACTTGTTCTGGTCACGACACCGTTTGTCACGCCTGCGTTACGCAAAATCTGCTTGCCTTATGTTCCAGCTACAGAAAGGCAAATTTCTAATATTTTACTAATGGCTCAAGTCTCCAAATGTCCGGGATCAAAGCTTGTAGACTTAGGCAGTGGGGATGGAAGAGTGGTTTGTATTTATTCAAAACTACATTTTCATCTAAAATCCTCTTCAGTCAACCTGTCACGCAATCTTCTTAAACCTTAGGTGTAATCTGGGTCTGCAACTTATACAAACCTCATTCTCATTTACTAGACAATCCAAGAGAGTTGGCATATACATTATATGTTTCTGATTGACAGGTAATAGCTGCAGCCAAACATGGCTACCAAGCTCATGGTTATGAGCTCAATCACTGGCTTGTCTGGTATTCAAGGATACAGGCCAGGATACAAGGGCTGCATGGGAAGGCCACATTTTCAAGGGCTGACTTGTGGAAGGTAGGAAACAATACATATATGTTGACTAACAGTATGTACTACCTGGCCTATCATAATATCTGTAAGCTTTTCTAATCTTAATTCCAATCAAACTCTCCTCTGATTTGGACAATGTACTGATGAAAATCATTCAGTTCTTAGATGTACCTGCTTGACTAATGGCTGAGGAATCAAATTAGAAATGGGTGTGCCAATAATTATTGACCCTTGACGTACTATGTTATTTATGGTGTTGCACTTCAAATATGTGTGCTCAGAAAAGACATGGTCACTCAAGATACATGACCTTTGTTGAAGTCCTCATTTTTTATCAACTCCCCACAAATTTTCTTTCCTTTATTCCTTTCGGTATTAAAGATTATCAGAGAGGTGAAAACCTCTGCAAATCTGAAATCTGAAGATTTTCTCTTTGTGCTACCCCACTACCACCTTCCCTCCTCCCCCTCCTCCTAAACCCACCACACCCGACAAGGAAGCTCACCCCAACCCCAATACATGCATAATTGTAATCTGCTGAAGTAGCCTGTGTGTCGTAGGACAGGAAGCAAAAGAAATGAAGGGAGGTGGATTATAGTGTGTGGAGAGTTTTTTGTTCAGGCTTTTTAATTATGGGCTTTATTTTACTGAAATTCTTATCAGGTTCATTGATTTCCTTTTCAGGTTGACCTTTCAACTTTCAACAAAATTGTAATATTTGGAGTCTCTGAAATGGTAAATGTTGTTAAATTATAACACAAGTGTGCCTATTTAGCAGAATGTGTATTGCCTCTCATTTTCAAGCATTTTAAATGTTTAATGTACTAGTAATGTTCATTATATTAGACCTCTATCACATTTTGATATGACTATGATTATAAACTTCACTGTCATTTTTTTTTTTTCATTATAGATGCAAAAGCTTGAGGCAAAATTCCAAGTGGAACTGAAAGATGGTGCTGAAGTGCTTGCATGTCGTTTTCCACTACCAAACTGGAAACCAACAAAAGTCATTGAAGAAGGGATTGACAGTGTATGGTTATATCAAAAACAAAAATAATTCTACATAACGACTGAAGATAGCTATCAATGGTTCATCAGTGCTCAAAAGCAAGTTTTCATTCATGTGCAGTATTTGGGAGCATTCTTTATAATACTGTAATCTGAATTTTTTTATCAAAACAAAGTCAATTTCCTCTAGTTATCTAGGACCACCGTAATCTTAAATTGAAATCCTGTGGCTTGTCAGCCTGCGTAGCAAGCGTTTCTGTGGGGTTTTGGTGCAAAAAATGAGGAAGGAGAGTCAAAGACCACCCTCTTTCATTTCTTGGCTCTTGTTCCATTTTTCGCACGGCCAAAATCGAAAATCTCGCTTTGCTCCGAAACCACACGGAAACACTTGCTATGCAGGCTAGTGGCTTGTGAGCACTTATACTTGCAACACTTGGATCCTGACTCTGGCAGTACTGAAATGTCACAATAGACTGGGCCCTTTCAGACTGTATCCCTGTGCTAAGCTACAGTAGTGTGAGTATCCTGTATAACACACTGGTATCTTTAAGTCCCTGTACCCAAGATCTTACTTAGAGGAATTCTACTTTCAAGTTGTTTTATGGATGAAAACAGGACTATAGGAAAACGATTCTGTTGCACCAGTTTGTGATGGCAGAGAGTTTATTTTTAACAGTACACATTTACACTAACATCAGACAGAAAAGCATCAAAATTTGAGTAAGCTATTACTTACAGCAAAGTCTTCTGATTTTAGGACACCATGAATTATCAACAAGTTTAGTTTCAAAGGCATTGCCATTATTTCTTACTTACAATTCATAATGTTATAGTTAAAAAAGAATACAAAGTACATATCAGGGACAATAAATTACTGCTTTCTAAAACCTACAATCTCAGAGATTATCAAAAGTTTTATGTTTAGGTGGTAAACTGAAGGGAAAAAAATTATACAAAGCTCTTATAATAAGATAGAAACAAAAAGAAAGGTTGTGTGAAAAATGTTTAGTACAATTTTTATTATATTATGTGATATAGAGGATATTACATGGCAACACTGTGATGCAAAATTTCTCTTTGAGAGTTTAATTTTATTTTTTTAACATGAGAAATGGAAAGGAGAAATTTTGTACCTCCAAGGCGCCATGTAATGTTCTGTTTATTACATTAACACCAATGAAATACTAAACCATTTCACTTTGATATTGTTTGGCTGCAAAAGGTGCAATGTTTTGGGGATGACCTTTTCACATGTGAAGAAATCATGTTATTTTTACATGTGAAGATAATTCAATCATGATTCCATGTGAAAGGAAACCTGGTATTCTATTGGTGTTTATATAATATAAAATATATAAATCGCTTTTTTTAGTCTCTATCTGACCTGATGGAGTTTACAAATCCAAGATATTTCTTATACAGTCAAATCTGCCACCAAAAGGGCATCTATTGACAGAGACAAAAAATCCATCAAAATTTAGTTTAGTTGAAGTCTTTCAACTTGGAGAACTTTTACTAAGGTTTCCAGTAGAATAAAGCAGTTGTTACAATGCTATTCTTATATGTGTCTATAAAAATGTTCTTCAAAGAAGAATGCGATAAAGAACAACTGAACCTTAAGGTAATTCCCTTGTTTTGCACTGTGTGTTACCCACTGCACATAAAAATTGGGACTTCAAAGATCGTGGTGATTTTTTATCAGTCACCTAAAAAGAGGTACCAAAGGCCCCTTTTGTAATCCTGATGCTTTTAATAGCGATTTTGATAACAGCTAAAAAACACTCAAAATTAAGGGCACACAAGGCAAAAACAAGCACAGTGACCCTATCTTTTTATTGCAGTTTTTGAAAGTTGTATATATGGCTGACAAGTGTGCCAAGTTGGAAAAAAATCTAGGTAGCACATCCTTTTCAAGGGAATTACTTTAACCCTTAACCCTAATGCAGCGGTTTTATAAATCACAAACAAAAAACCTGCAAAGTAAGAGTTCAGGTGCCTGCAAGGAAGGAAAGTTGAAGTAAGAGCAAAAAATTCGAGTTTGGGGCTGGGATGACCCCCACGAACCCCTCCTCACCTTTTTGCTCTCCACCCATGGGAATACTTGCTACATGTATGTAAGCTATCATTTTTTACTAAAAGTGCAGCTACCTCAGCACCTCTATACTGGCTACAGGCTCGGTTAAAGGAATTTCTTACACACCCTAAGTACTTTACAAAGTGCAGAACTATGTTAGATAACCACAGCTACAATTTAAGCTACAAGTGGTGCTGTGTCTATGAGGCATAAATAGTGCAAGACCATCATTTGCTTTTAATCAACAGCCTGCAAGGTCGGAGGGTTTGTCTTCTATCAACACATTTTATCATCCTGCATGTTAATTGTAACTCTTCTCTGAAAGTTGAAACACATCGGCGCAACTCAAGCATCAGGCTCATACCTAGAAGATAACAAGAGAGTGTTAGGTCGCTCCTGAAAAACCTTCCTCAACTCACCTTCCAGTGGGAAGGTGTCACCTGAAAAAAGTTTGAGGTACTAGGGGGCTGGTCATTTTTTACTGTGAGTGTCGGTTGCCCAGTTTGCAGGGGAATCATTTTCAAAATATTTATTTGTTTTGGGGGGTCGTTTTCAGATATGGGAGCGTTACATTGGGGGTCTTTTAATAAATTTCATAAAAGTGGTAAAAAGCAATATCCTTCTTTTAGCTGTCTGTTCAAAATCAAAACCGCAATACAACTTGTCAAATTAGAAAAATGCAGTTTAGAAGAACAGTAGTACTAAATTTAGTATGCACATCAATATAATCACTGTGTGACATACGCGCTTTTAAAATGATCGTATCGTACAAGGCAAAGCATTTGTTGGCAGCTGTTACTGTAACGAGTGTGAATTGAAACCGAATGTAACAGCTGTCAATAGTAAACACCAATCTTACAAAGACAACTGTACTGAGATAAATGTGTTGAACTTCGGCACGATTTGGAACGAAAACATTCGTAGTTTTCTCAGCAATCAGGTGGGTGGGGCAGTCACTTTCACAATAAATTATGTCAAACTTACGGGGGTCATTTCTAAAAATCTAGGATGAGGTGAGTGGGTCGGTTCCAAAATATTCCAAACATTTTCAAAAGTGGCCAGCCCCCAGCCCCTACAGGTTAAAAACGACTAGCCCCTAGATTTGTAGTAAGTAAAACAGCAACATTTCAGAGCACACTTCACCTAAGGCATAAAATAGATCTCTGCTATTCGAGAATGAATAAGCATACAAATCATACTATCTATAGTCTTGCTTACTTTATGTTTTTCTGTTTCTGCACAAAATCCTTTGCATTCATTTTTTGGCTGTTTGTGCATGAATGTTCTTTTCATACATTACAACTAATTCTAAATGCATTGGGAATTCAGTTTTGTGAAACTTCATAAGTTTGAAACTGATCTAACAAGATGGCTCATAAAAATTAAATTTTACCAGTGACATTTTGACTACTATTTAAAATGGCTGTACTTACTTTCGTAATCGCCCACGTAAGTCTTTTATCTGGTCATTCTTTGATGTTAACATCTGCTTCATATTCTTGTATTGAGTTGTTTCATTAAACTTCTTCGTAAGATCCTGGGAACAACAGAGGTTATTTTATGAGAAAGGTTTCTTCAACATTTAAAACTAATTTGATATCACTAAATTTTTGTTTTCATAATTTTGGTAACACCAACCTTTTGTGCTTCTTCAAGATCATGCTGAAGCTTCAAGATCTCATGCTACAAGAAAGAAGATCATTTCTTAGCAGCAGATTTAGCAGTAAATATCGGCCCAATGACAATGATCAACATTGATTATCACCATCATCAACATCATTCATCAACTCAACCTCTTGCAGTATTTGAGATATGCCTTATCAAGTCTGATACACTACACTTTCTAATAAGCCAACAGCCAGAGGAGGATAACTTATATTATTTTTCTGGAACTGTAAATTTTAATGTGCCAGCCCATAGATCCAAGGTTTTTATCAGAAAAACTCTTAATAAATACCTCATAGAGATTTTTTTAATTCAGCAACACAGGTATATAACATCTTGGAAGAAAAAATTTTGAGTACCCACAACCAGATTTGAACCTGTAACCCTCTGGGCCAGGTTGTTCAAAGCAGGGTTAAGATAACCCACGGTTAGTGCGAAATTTGAATTCAGATATAGACCCTGAAAAAGCAAATTTAGTTTAATTCCTTTGGTCTGCAATTTGGTGATTGGATGCTCTGAAAAGAATAGGGAAAATCAGAGAAAATGTTGTTAAACAAACGAAAAAGAAACCTACATTAAAATTTAACTCCGAGTTAGCGCTAATCGGCCCTCAAACAATAAAATATTGGGCCCTGGTTACTAGTCCAAATCAATTCTCCTCCAATGAATTACAGAGAGAGGCCACAAGACTAGGGTCACGTGACAAACATCCTGCATACAACTATTTTGAGAAGGCTGTCGAAAAAAATGTGCACACGACAATCCGGAAAGGTAATATGGGGTATGACCAATACAATGTTCCTGACACTAGCTGTCAAACCTACTTTTGTTGCTTTCCTTTAGCACTCGCAAACAGTCCAAGGCCTCTTGACCCATTGTTGCAAATTTCTTTGAAGAACAGTGAACTGAAAACCACCCGCAATACCTTTCGGGATTGTCGCATGCACTTTTTGAGACAACCTTTCTTCAAATAGCTGTATATACCGCTAGGACTGGAATGTGTGCAATGACTAAGAAATATTATTGTGAATTTTAAATCTGGTGAATAGGTTGAGGTTAGATATTATCCTTGGTTTAAATTTGGGTATGATAACAAAATGATAACGATGTGCTTAAAACAAAGGAAAATGAAATTTACACCAAGGATAAAACTGAACCACAACAAATTCAAGGGAAAGTCAATCTTTATGTTAATAATACATAAATCCATACCTTGCTGCTGGTTAATTCCTCTTCCAGTGACGCAGCATGAGATGAGCCTTTATCTTTTGCCTACAGAACAAAAAACATTGCTCCATGCACATTTGAAAAGATAGCTCCCACTAGTATTTGCAGGAAATTATAATCCAATTTTCAGAGACCTAGCATAAATTAAAGTTTTAATTTTTTATTTTTTATTTTCTTTATTCTATTTTTTTATTTTTTGCCTTACATGAGAACACAAATGATTGCCTCCAAACATAATTTACATTATAATGTTGAATATAAGAATAGGGAATAGTAGATTCAAAACTCAAGTCAGATTTATTTTAACATTAAAGAGACACTTCTACAAAAGTTTTATTAAAGTCCTGCCAAATTCTACTGAGATCTGAAACACTAAGATTCGAAAGACAGAGCAAAGTTTTAAAATGGCCACCAGGGCTCTTAAAGAAAAGAACAAAATTAATGTTGTATATCTTTAAGATTCCTATAAAGCAGTGTTAAATCTATCAAAAACTTTGAGCACATTAGTATTCTTTGGGATGCAGGCACACACAGGACTAATGAGAAATGAGTTTGACTTATTCTTTTTATTAAATTGTATTTTGGATCATCCAATTTTCTCCCTATTTTCTGAAACAAAAGTTTACACTAAACACTAAGAAATGTAAGCAGTACTAGTTGGTAGTAACACAAGATTTTCATTCAAATTTATCCTGGTCATTATTATGTTGTTTGTGTGTATCTCTGGCCAGTTTGAAGGAATCACTCATGTATTTGGACAAGATTTTGAAGACAATTTGTGCATCAGCAGGGCTGTCATTAAGAGGCAGGGGCCGGGGATTTCCCCCCAGCAACTTTCAAAGGAAAATAGAAGAAATATAGAACCAAAAGAAACCCATAGCTACTTCATTCTGCACCTACTTATTGTATTTACCCAGCAATATGAAATGTTATTGACAACCAGGCTGATGTGTCATTGTTCAACATCTAAACAGATGAAGAAGATTACCAGAGAAGCACCAGGATTGATGTTACACACAGCTGGGTGAAGTGGTAAGATATGAGTTGAATAAAGTTTATTCATTCATTCATTTATTCATACTGTTCATAATTATTTACCCTTTTTAAATCCATTTTGGCTGCAGCCATCTGTTCCTCAAGTTCTGCCATTTCCTTGCCATAAGACTGAAAAGCAAAATCACATCAACATGGACATAAATATGGCTATCAACAGTCAACTAGTAAACATTTTAAAAGAATAAGGTAATATTGTAATAATTATTTATAGCCTTAGGTAACTAGCATTGACCAGTAAGAATCCATTTTTTATGGCAAATGAAAAACTTTCCAATATTATTAGTTAGGGCTACTGGCTTGGTAGTTTCTGCAACTGTCTTGACAGTCATCCTCTTAATGATGTTAGGGTGCATTCATTTGAGATGATCTGGATCAGGATCAGTGATCACGGATCACTCGGGTTATGGTAAATCAAAATAATGAAATGATGAATTCACTCTGGACAAGGTTTCATTGGTTCATTTTGATCTACCATGATCCAAGAGATCTCGGATCACTGATCCTGATCCAGATCATCTCAAACGAATGTACCCTTAGTTTTTAAACAAGACAGTCTCAGAAACTGATAAGCCAGTGGCCCAAAATAATTGGAGACATGAATTCTCCTCATCAAATTGGAATTTGGACGTGGTTTTGGAGAAAAGAAAAACATATTGAAGCAAAGAATAGAACCAGCAACCAGTTCAAACAAGCATTGGTTCTGGGACGTAAACATCGGCCAGCCACTTTGATGGGAGGCAATTACCACTGGACCAACCCTACGCCCAAATGTAGCATTCTGCAAGTGTATTCTAATAATTAGATCATGATATACTGCACCTTGGCATTTCCTTTGGATTTTAATGCAGCTTGTGTACTTTCAAGATCTGCTTGGAGTTTACTTCTTTCTCCAATAGCACTTGTGGCCTAAAATGTAAAAGAATAATTTTTATTCTCATGGCAAAACTGACTTTCCCTACTTTTTAGAATTTAATCAAGCATGCAAGGTCAAACTTTGAGGATGCAAATATTCAAACAAGTTAACTTTAATTTCATCTCACCTTGCCCTCTAAGGTTTTCATCCTTTCTCTAAGCTTTGTATTTTCTTCATTTAATCGATTAATTTCCTGTGCCAACAAAAAACATCAATCAACAAAATTCAGCATAGTTACACATCAACAAAAGTATCTATCTTTTATTTAAAGTACTAAAATAAAAGTAAAATACTGTAGGTACAGTACAAGGCCATTTAAATATGTAAATAAAATAATGAAATAAAGAGCGATTTAGAAGTAGCATAATGACATTGGTTCTTTGTCTACCATTCCTGGTTGAATTGGATTTTGGAAAATTATGTTGGTTTTATATATAAAAGGAGAGGGGAAAACCGAAGTACCTGGAGAAAAACCTCTTGGAGCAAAGGAGAGTACCAGTAACAAACTCAACCCACATACAATGTATGGCATCAATGCAAGGATTTGAACCAGGGCTGCCCCCGCTCCCCTTACTACTATTAAACCACAATATAGAACTTAATACCTGTAGTACTCAGCCTTAACAACCTTAAGAATGCAATATTATTTTTACATCACACAAAGCAAATGATAGCTGAGCCATGTGCAGCAGAGTAGTAATGCCCTATTTTCAAACTGATTCCCAGAAAACTTTGAATTCATAGGAGAGGGACCTTCGAAGGATACGGTCAAATGGTACTAAAAAACACCTTGCTGGATATGGCACCGCAGTGGAAAAGAAAGGATGTTAGCTTTTTGAATGATGTAATGTCTTTGTTTTTCTTGCCCCTCTAGGTCGTTTGCCACCCGGCAAGGTGTTTTTTGCACCAAGTGACCTTATTCTGCAAAGGGGCCATTGCATACAAAATGTCAACACTTGCAGATTTGGAAAAATCCACAGGCTAGGCACTTTTTAGAATCGCTGGTTGATTGATTAAATTTTATCAGTTTTTTACTATTAGCAGTCTATTCCACAAACAATTTAAAGAGAAATCCACACAATGGAAATGTCCGAAAATGGTGAAATTTCTGGTGAAATTTTTTGGAAATGCATGTTTAGGAATATGGCATGATTTCATTATCGGATTTAGTGGAAAAAGGATCTGGAATAGTGTTGAGAATCTTTGTGCATCAGGATTTTAACATCACTGAGAGAAATTAAAGAAATCAGTGAACCAGTAAATCAGATAGCGAAAATGACCAAATAATACACAAGTAAAGCATTACACTAACTTTAACAGACAAATGTCTTCAAGGTCCTAGATCTTAACTACAGGTTAGAACTATTTGCATTTGATCATTTTGTAAACCTATTAGCAGTCTATTCCACAAACAATTTAAAGAGAAATCCACACAATGGAAATGTCCGAAAATGGTGAAATTTCTGGTGAAATTTTTTGGAAATGCATGTTCAGGAATATGGCATGATTTCATTTTCGGATTTAGTGGAAAAAGGATCTGGAATAGTGTTGAGAATCTTTGTGGATCAGGATTTTAACATCACTGAAAGAAATTAAAGAAATCAGTGAACCAGTAAATCAGAGAGGGAAAATGACCAAATAATACAAGAGTAAAGCATTACACTAACTTTAACAGACAAATGTCTTAATTTTCCTAGATCTTAACTACAGATTAGAACTATTTGCATTTGATCATTTTGTAAACCTAAGCAACAATGCAAATATGACCCAAACAAATGAGTTCTTTCTTGTGAAGGAACTCATGCGTAAAACAAATAAAGATGTTCTAAAAAAGTACCTAATAAGAATTACATTGTAATAATGACTACATGTCTAAACCATCTCAAGTAGATGCAATGATGATACACAATATTATTATTCACCTTTTGCTGATCACGGATCAACTCGGTTAAGAGTTCTTTTTCTGATATTTGCAGAAGAATCATGGTTGTAACTTAGAAAACCAGTATCAATCCTAGACTAGGTCTCCGAGGGAATTCAAAGAACTAATAGAATTTTAGGAAGCTTTTGATTTTTTTCTTCGAATTTATACTGACACTACCAAACATACAAAATGTTTCCATGGAGTTACAAATTTGATGCTAATTTCTCTTTAATGAAAAAGAAACAATAATAATGATTTATATCAGCCAATTAAAGGTCCTGTGGTTTCTCATGAGGTAAACAATAATTTCAAAGCTGAAGCTATGACGTTTTAGTACATTTCTTTTCCTCAAACAATAACCTTATTTATCAGAAAGATTACTATCTGCATTTTCTTGAAAAATCTTCTTAAAAAGTCCAATTTTAATAAAAACAAACAAGAAATGACAAGAAACATGACCAACTATTTTTAGAATTACTATTTAGAAGTACTTATAACATTACAATGTTGAATAATTCATAAAAAATGAGGAACCTAACTGAAGGTTTTACTAGTAAATTTTTAATGAGGATTTAGAAAAGAATACTGATAATTATGTCACATAGCTAGTGTGGGATAAAACGGATTGGAACTATTTTTTAATAAATAAGATGCTGACAATAATGATTATTGCACAAGTACCTTATACTTGCATTTTTCCTTTGTTGTGGGATATGTGCAACAAAGGAAAGTAAAACTTAAAAAAAAATAACTTATGGGGAAAGTATCTCCCTCAAAACATCTAAGAGTTTAAGAATAAATTATGGTATTTTTAAGACAGGAAAAAAGAATAATGCTGTTTGTGGTTAACAGTCTTTATTCTTACACAGATATTAGGGAGGCAGTGTGGCCTAGCAGTTAGAGCACTGCACTTATTATTCAAGTTCAAGTCCCTCCCTGACCGCTAGCCAGATTTGTTCAAGATAGTCAAGTGTTCAAATCCTCGGCCACACTTATAAATAGGTAGCTGCTTTACTCCAGCCAGATGGGATTCTTAAACCTGTTAAGTTTGGTATGAATTATTTGTTTCAGGAATTTTCTTGGCCCCATTAACATAAGTGCTACAAATACTGACAACGGTAAAAAAAACTCATTTTTTTTTAAATTTATTTATTTATATTAAGTTTATAGTATACTGTTGTACTATCATAATGATGACTGATCTACTTGATGGGTCATTGTATACACTCACCATTTGAAGTAATGCTGATCCGCTGCCTTCATTTAAGGGCTCTAATTTGGTTGCCTGGGACAACTTAGATAACTTAGACTGCAAGAAAAGAAAATAAAAAATTTTACAATTATTAAGTTGTGGAATAAATAGATGACAGTGTCATTTACATGCATGTAAATAAAGACTCGTTAATATTACCTGTGATGTAGATTTGGTGGCAGAGAACTCTCTTTCTTCAAACTTTGCTATTTCCTCTATAAGTTCCCTGGAAAATAAGATATTAAAATTAATATAAATTAAGCGTGCAAGTTATTAACCCACTGCTCTCCACACATTTGCTATAGCACTGATGAGGACAAGTTTTTAACTTTTTCACTTCCAAAAGTCAATGATGGAATCTTCAAAGGTAGTTCTAACTTTTGGATGAAATCCTAAAATGTGACCATTCAAATAAAAGCTATCAAGCAGTACTTTCCCGTGGTACCGTTTATTATGTTGTACAAGGTGGTTCTAGCTTTTGAGTCTATGGATGAAATCCTAAAGCGTGACCATTCAAATGAAAGCTACTGACAGTTCTTTCCTGTGGTACTGTTTATTATGTTGTACAAGGTGGTTCTAACTTTTGAGTCTGTGGATGAAATGCTAAAGTGTGACCATTCAAATGAAAGCTACTGAGCAGTTCTTTCCTGTGGTACTGTTTATTATGTTGTACAAGGTGGTTCTAACTTTTGAGTCTGTGGGTGAAATCCTAAAGTGTGATCATTTAAGTGAAAGCTGCTTAGCGGTCCTTTCCTGTGTACTGTTTATTATGTTGTACAAGGTGGTTCTTACTTTTGAGTCTGTGGATGAAATCCTAAAGTGTGATCATTTAAGTGAAAGCTGCTTAGCGGTCCTTTCCTGTGGTACTGTTTATTATGTTGTACAAGGTGGTTCTAACTTTTGAGTCTGTGGGTGAAATCCTAAAGTGTGATCATTTAAGTGAAAGCTGCTTAGCGGTCCTTTCCTGTGGTACTGTTTATTATGTTGTACAAGGCAGTTCTTACTTTTGAGTCTGTGGATGAAATCCTAAAGTGTGACCATTCAAATGAAAGCCACTGATCATGAGCAGTACTTTCCTGTGGTACCGTTTATTATGTTGTACAAGGTGGTTCTTACTTTTGAGTCTGTGGATGAAATCCTAAAGTGTGATCATTTAAGTGAAAGCTGCTTAGTGGTCCTTTCCTGCGGTACTGTTTATTATGTCGTACAAGGTGATTCTAACTTTTGAGTCTGTGCGTGAAATCCTAAAGTGTGATCATTTAAGTGAAAGCTGTTTAGTGGTTCTTCCCTGTGGTACTGTTTATTATGTTGTACAAGGTGGTTCTAACGTTTGAGCCCATTCAAATGAAACCTCTTTAGCAGTACTTTCATGTTAGTTGTATAAAAAATATTTATTTTCCAGCAATTTATAAAATAAATGACATTTTGAAAGTTTGCAAATTCTGACTTTTGCTACTTCTAGGAATAAAAGGCGTACCGATAAAGACCAATTTTTACAAGTTCAACATTAATGTAGTGTTACTACAAGGAGAAACCGAATGTTGGTCACTCTTAGGGGGTTACAGGCACTGTTGTAACAAATTGGCCATGAATTCCTTTGAATGAATTTGAAAATTCCATTGATTTTTTCAGCAAGTGAAAAGAAGATTTAAACTGGACAAACAACTGTGTTCAAGTGTCATCTAATCATAGCAAAAGCATTCTACTGAAACGAAAAAAAGATGTCAAGAACATCACAGCAAAGCATTGTTCAGCAAGATCAATGAAAACATGATTTCCTTGGCTGGAGATATTACAATACAAAGAATAGATGAAAACCATGTCTGAATTTTTGAGACACCCAGAGAACTGAATACTGAGTTTTTACAAACATTCCAAATGGTCCCGGTCTGTTACTTTGTTCTGCGAGTTTTTAAGATACCCATTTCCGGACGGGGGCTGTGATTTTTTTAGAGCCTAAAGGTCTGAAATGTGTCTAACCCAAGAGAAGGCTCATTTTTGTTTCATTACATAAAAAAAAAGATGGCAGGCGAGGCAAAACAAACAGTGCAAACCATGTAAACGTGTGAGAGCCACTAAAATTCGGCCTGGTCTCAGGTTAAATTTTTGTGAACGTCCTTGTTCCAAGCTTGCAAAACCCTGAATGTTTTCCATCATTATTACATGACTAAACTTCAAATTTACCAGTTAAAGGAGTGCTGGGAATAGAGCTCCACATCATGCCTGATAAAATACTGATTCCCCTTCTATTTGCCATGCATATGCTTTTAATTCAAAGGAAGAAGCTGAGTTGACCACGAGTCACTCTGGGCCTTATTCCAAACACTTGTTCAATTACTATTGTTGAGGATAATGATGCCTTCCAGTTATATAAAAAGTATGAAAACATACCTATTTTCAAGCTCAGATATATCAGCCTGCAATTTGAGATGCCATTTTTCAGCCTGACTAAACACTTGTCTAAGAAGTAAGACGTTTGTGTGTGCAGCATTTATAAGTTCAGATTCAACTTCTCCCCTCACCACAGCACAGAGGCCATCCAGCATGTCAGTAACTTCATCAAGAGTGTATGTGTCGTCTACAAGTCTGCAATTTTAATTTTAAAAAACAGTACTCCTCAATAATTATTATAAACTACCATAAACTTCAACTTATATAGTCTGTAAGCCCACTCACATAAGACCCCCAGCTATAAGTCCATCTACCTGTAAACAAAAAAAAATTCATCCTGTTACTTGCCACACCCCCTCCCCAATATAAGCCCCCCTCTAGCTTGTATTGAAATGAATTAAGTTTTTTATGGTTTTGAAGCTTTAAACAGCGAGTCACTTCAAAAAGCTTGTTTTGAAACACTCTTTTTAGTCCCACTATACCCCCCCTCCCCCCCTTGGATAACCCCCCGGTTTAAGCAGAAGTTTAAGGTGAGTTAATAATCAAAGGTAAGGGAGTGCATGCAAGATCGACATGAAGGTCAAAATGCTCTGGCCCAAACACTATGGTTTGCATAAGTATCATGTGATAAAAGGCGGCGTGCAAAGAAAGTTGTGTCTGATAGCCCGGGGCTAGTGGATTTTGCTATCCGGCTAGATAATTCTGTTCTTAACTTGCCCAATGGGCAGGTGATGTTTTTTGAGGAATTGAAATAACAGAAGAACTGTGAAATTAATTCTGCTCGTCAAAAAGCTTTTGGGGCTAGTTGAAATGACGTCTGGGCTAGTAAATGCTAGCTTCAGCTTGCCCGAATGGCAAGCTGTAAAAATGATTTTCTTTGCACCCTGAAAGGTCAAAATGTTTGTGATCAGATTATGAGTGGTAGAAGGTCCAAACCCACATGATCAAAACGAATGCTGGCTACATACGTGTTGTGCATGCAGGCATAATAGCAGCCTTGAGATCAGCTCTTCTGGTCACCCCCAATAAGGAATATGAAATTATGGTGAATTTTAAGCCTGGTAAAATGTAGTTAAATCAAATTCAGTGCAGGTCTCAACAAAGAGGGGCTATGATGATGTAGGCTTGATTTCCGCTGCTCTCTCGGTGCTCCCAGGGAGAAGAGAGGGTCTGTTTGGGGGAGAAGTGCAGGCTCATTTCCTAAACTAGGCTGGTATTTGAGCTTAATATTATTGGTCAGTGGTCGATCAGTAAGCCTTGGTTGCATCCGCTCCTTGTGGGTAACATGCTGGTGGCTACTGGGCTTCTTTTAGCCTTTGGATATTGTGCTTGACCCCACCCCTCCCTACCTTATGTTTTCTGCCTTTTTCTTATAGTCAGTGTAATAGGTGAACTTCTGGTTCTGTCGGCATGAACATGGCTGGGAGGGGTGGATTTAACAGCTGTAAGGATACAACTCTATCTGCAAACTGGCTGTGCCAAAAGTGGAGCCCACTGAACAACTCAAGCACCCAACCTCCACTAAGTGATGCAGAAACACAACCAATTGAGAAATGACATTTTCCAATGAATGACAATGGAGATTGGAACAAAAAAAATCCCAGTTCAAACCCATGGCATTCTGGTCACTATTTCACATGCTCTGCTGGTGATTCCCTTCAAACATAAACAAAGAACAAAACTAAATCACAACATGTTGTATAAGTACACAACGTACCTGCTATCTTTAAGTTCTTCAAAAGATGCATCTACACCTCTAAGCCTCTGTGCTCGGCCATAGCGAGCAAATCTAAGGTAGTTAACTACAATTTGTTGATGATGCTCATTTAGTCCAATATCCTGAAACGTAACATGTACAATCAACTTACAACTGTACAGACCAATCTGAAAAGCACCTGGGGTATGACTTGTGAAAACATGGTATCGTAAATGATCTAATAGATGCACACTCTCAAATAAATGTCTCTTATCTAATAAACAGCCCCTCTACGCTGCCCTTCTCTAATTAAAATCCCTTGTCTACTGGAAACCCCCTATGACAATATATTACTCCAAAATTCTAGGAATTAACAAAAAGGTGCAAAATCATGCTATTTATTCAGTTTCTTACTTGATAAACAAGGGTTTGCATATCATATCATGTTCAATGCTAAGTTCAAAGTAAAATTAGACCAACAATAACAACACAAGGACCCTTAGCGAGGATTCTGACAACATAGAATATTGAGATTAGAAAAAGCAGGGTGGATGTCTAGGTAGCCTAGACATTATTGATGGACAGGATACTCCTTGATTTTTTACCTCATGATATTTTCACCGAAAGTATATTAGTTTTGTTCAGCTCATTACAATTATTAGGGTAACTGCCTCTCTCTTTTAAACACCCCTTATTTATGAATTATATAAATGCCCCCCTCTCAGGCCCCTAAAATTATATAAATGCTCCGGCCATTTTTTCGATCAGTTACGGTGTTTGCTATGACAACAGACAGTCCAGTTCCCTGCTAGCAGAGGTCTCTCATGACAAGGTAAAATCTCCTTCCTCTCATTTTTGCCTTGTCGTGAGAGACCTCTGCCAGCAGGGAAACAGTCTCATGGTTCATGCAACTCCAGACAAACAAATTTCAAGGACTTTTCAAGGATTTTTCATGAAAAAAATTACAGTTTTCAAGGACGAAGATTTATCCAATAAATCGGTATTCTTTAACCCCCTTTGATCAACCTATTGGCTAAAACATGTCATGGAGTCATTTACGATTTAAACTTCTTCGGCCATCGTTCATCACATAATTTTATACTACTTTCCGCAACAAAACTTCGCAAAATGACTGGGTATGACTTGCAATTGCATTTGAGGTACAGAAATAGCATTTCAAATAAAGAAAAAGAAATAAAATATTGTTCAAGCACAAAAATGTTTTAAGGCCTGTGAGTTTTACAGGTTCTTGCACTGAGGATGACCCAAACTTTTCTCGTCAAAATAATCTAATTTTATACAGAAAAAGGTGCCTGGTTTAGACAAGGTTGTAAATTTCAAGGACTTTTCAAGACCTAATAAAGAAATCAAGTACTTTTCTAGGACCTTAACTGAATTCAAGGACTTTTCAAGACGACTAGTAAATTTCAAGACCTTTTCAAGATTGCACAAACCATGCAGTCCAGACATTTGGGCATACCGGTATTTAGCAGCAACACCCCTGTGTTTGTGTTTAATCTGACTACTGCTACCAAATAAATACAAATGAATATGCCTTCCTCTTTATTAATTTAAGCGAACGGCAATAAATTTAATTGCATTGCTGAATTGTACTAGGAGTATAAAACAGCTGTATTTTGTAAATAATGGCCCAAGCGCATATGCTCCTTTAAACATAAATTANTCAAGTACTTTTCTAGGACCTTAACTGAATTCAAGGACTTTTCAAGACGACTAGTAAATTTCAAGACCTTTTCAAGATTGCACAAACCATGCAGTCCAGACATTTGGGCATACCGGTATTTAGCAGCAACACCCCTGTGTTTGTGTTTAATCTGACTACTGCTACCAAATAAATACAAATGAATATGCCTTCCTCTTTATTAATTTAAGCGAACGGCAATAAATTTAATTGCATTGCTGAATTGTACTAGGAGTATAAAACAGCTGTATTTTGTAAATAATGGCCCAAGCGCATATGCTCCTTTAAACATAAATTAAAAAATTGCCTCGTCATTAAAACTACATTTCCCCCAGTAACAGCAAAATTAGAAGCACAAAATCGACGTTGTAGGTCGAACAATTCAAGCACCTTTGCATTGAGTAATCCAAAATTAAACAGTTGCTACTAAGGCGAAAATAATTTAAGCTTAATAAGTTTATTATTCAAGTGTTCGGCAAAATTAAACTTGGTTCGATCTGTGCAGTTTCCATCTAAACTTCAAGAAACAATATTCCCGCACTTAAAAATGTTAAAACAAAGCCTTCGTGGTTTCTCTTGCAGTGAGACAATTTAATTCAAGAAAACTAAACATCTTACATGTAGCTTCTGCTGTCATATCATTACTTCATAATAGTACCCCGCAACTTACCATAACTGCAATTTTAGCTCCCAAAGATAGGGATGTATGAATTCTCCGCAGTAAATTTCTAATTTATAGATTTAGTACGTGGGAGGACAAGAATAAGAGAAGTTATAAATCCTTCTTGAAAACCAACCGGGACGCATCACGAAGCCATGGCAAAATGAAGAGCTTGGTAGCCAGGCAACAGAAACATTTCAACATGGCGACTTTCCCGCCTTTAAAATTGTTTTTCGTCGAATTTTGTGTCGGTCCGGTGAAAAAAGAAACGTAAAAAAAGCACAAGAAATCTGCGAATAGGAGCATTGCGGTGGAGCCTGGAAAACAACAACTCAATATGGGTGATGCTCGATGTCACAGGGACCGTAGCCTGCGTGGCAGGCGTTAAAAGGGGAAGGGAAAGGGGGAATTTGGGCGCGAGAGAGCGCGTGAGGCGAGAAAACGCTTTCTGTTTTTGTGATTCATGCCTATTTAAAAGACAGTGCCTTAACAGCAGTTAAAAGGGATGCAAGCTTCTAAATATGTATATGAATGGGGTACAATTTGTCAATAGAAGGTGCACAAAAGGAATACCTTTTCTGTCCAAAATGGCATACAAAAAGTAAGGGGTCGGACACCCTGTACAAAAGTTTGTGGAGTGCACCTCCGATTACAGTCGCCTCTCATCGTTCTCCGTCAATGAAAGGTGGTAGAATTCGCATCCTTAAGTATTTTTTTTTGATTAAAATACACACCTGATGTTAAAAATGTGTAGGTTTTTGCTATTTTCAGGATCAACCCTCTTCTGAAGAGGTCCTTATAATGAACTTTACTAATAAAGAGCGAAGAAAGATTAACCTTTGTTTATAGTGGAGGTGCACTTAGCGTTTCCAGCGGGTGGCAGGCACTCAACTTAAGTAATATGAAACAAATAATTCAGTTTCAACAGATGATTCCTTTCTCATCTATAGCTGGGCATTTACGTGCTTTTTCCTTTCGGTCTGATAACATGGCAAGCGCGGGAGGTAAGATGTAAGCGTGGAGCGCGAGAACACGCCCTCGATGATATCTAAAGGGGAAGTAGAGTCTGTGAACAGGCTAGTATACCACTTGCTCAAACAAATATGGAAGAGGTGTCGTTGATTTTTAATATCAGTTTGACGTGTACAAAGAAGACTCATAGAGAAACTTCGGTGATCCATATTTCACTCCATAGTTACTTGTAATATAGTATTGAAGAGAATTTATTTACGTTGAACAGGCAAAAGTAGGAGTAAAAACCTAGCTAGGTATGTAGTGTGCTTGTAGTGTGCTTAGGCTAGTGCCATAACCAGTTCCTATCTGAACTCATTATTCAGTTAAACTGTTCTCCTTCCTTATGTCCATATAGTTTTCTTTTACCATTGTACTTTTTAAGTTTTACCATTTACTACTATTATTTCTAATTGTTCTCCCGATTGTTTGCTTCCTCTTCATTCAATTTCTTTTTTTTTCCCGACTTTTGAACTATGTAATTATTTCTACTGTTATTAATAGCTCCGCTGATTGCGGGTAACATAATAGTAAATTATTTTCAAATTGAAAAACTGTTGTTGTTGTTGTTGTTGTAGGTAAAATACGGACAAAAATTCTCCTAAATCTAGCATAGGTGCCAGAGATTTTTCATGCGCCAAACCCTCTGGCGCCCAAGGTATTAAACGCGACTTTGCCTTGCATAGAGAATGGAGAATTAAGAAATTAATGTTAACAGTTTCTTGTAATGTAAACTAAGCTTTAACACAGCTATGTAGTTTTGTACTTTTGTAAAGTGTTTGGAAACGAGTGACAAGCTGAATTACATCACAAGAAGTGAAACATAACTTCTTTTTGGCACTTTCCTATCAAGCACATAACAGAATCCCTGCTCGATTTCTTTCGCGACCTCTTTCAAGACAGATTAGTACAGTCTAACGCCCGTAAGCGACCACCCAAAATGCGAAGATGTAGCAGCTCCCTTATAGGAGGTGGTCGCTTGCGAGAATCGCCAAACAGGAGGTCTCTTCCAAGAAGAGGTCCCACCGCATCTTATTTTTTTAATGATAATCAGTTATTGCACGCAATTTCTAAGTTACGTATAAGTATAGTTCCATGTTTTTCCATGAGATCACATCATGCGTCAAGTGATCGTTTAAAAGAGGTTAAAAACAATGGAAAATATATCCGTCAGGCCAAAAATTGGTTGTGGTTGCTGATAAGGGGTGGTCGTTTACGGCACGTTCTGATAATAGGGATTTGACCAGGGGCACCCAACGAGAATGTAGTTCAAAAGCAGTTAAAAATAGCATTGTTGAACGTATTTTGGTGTTTAAACGGTAGATGTAGGCATATTTTTATCCCCTAAAACTTTTTCATCTGTTCGGATTTCCTAGCTGAAAGTCTAGTGATCCGAAAATTATAGGGATCAAAACTTACCTTTTCGAAAATTTCAGCCAGAAAAAAGGCTCCCGAAATTTCTAGGTGACCTTTTTAGGATAAAAATCCGTTAAAAATGAGCAATTATACCATTTTTTAGATGTTCGAAAATCCTAGGAGGGGCAGGCAAGCAAGAAATTTTACAGCATACGTTCCGAAAAGTCTAGATCTCAAATCGTCTTCCGAACAGATATTTTCCGAAAATTGACGTTGGGTGCCCCTGATTTGACTGTAAAAAGTTTGGTGTTTTGGATAGATGGTCGCTAACGAGAGGTGTTCATGGAGATGCAACAGTATATTGAATATTTTTCCTAATACAATGCACTAAGTAATTTGTCACAAAAAATTATTGAGTTTTGTTGTTGCTACCTAATAGTCCTATTTGAAACAGATACTGCGATATAATCTTCATATCCGTCAGCTGAAACCACACAGGATATCCACTGCTGAACTGTCAGTGGCCCAGCACAGGGTTACCAATTCTGCACCTTTTTTTCTGAAACAAACTCTCCATGGGGTGATCCTGCATTTGGTGGTAATAAAGCCAAGTAAACTGGAGTTTCTGCTCCTAAAAAAACAATTTGAAATCCAAGATTACTGATGAAGCAAAATACACGATGATCAACCCGATATAACTATGGGAAAATCTTTGTCAACCACTTTTTTGGAGATCATCAACTACCACTTTTTACAGTTGTCCAAATTCTTGCCAAAGGGTTTAAGATGGAATCTATCAGGAAATTGAGTAATTTTCAGTGGACAAACACCTTGTATCAGAATATTTTAAGCCATATCGCATTCTTTTTTTACACTTTTCAAGGGCTATAAATGTAATAAGCTATATGAAATAACTCCAAAGAAAAGGTTCTTATGGGAGCCCGAAAAATAAATTCCAAATTTCAGAAGAATTGAGAAAACAGGGGTAAAATCGTCATGCGTAAGATTTCATTTTGTGAAATTTGAAGCTTTTGAAGTTTGTTTACTCGGACTTAACTCCCATAGGAACTTTTTCTTCGTAGTTATTTCATATAACTTATGACATTTATAGCCTTCGAAATGTGTAAAAAAAGACTGCACTATGATTGAAATTATTCTGGTACAAGGTTTTTGTCCACTGAAAATAAAAATTACTCAATTTCCTGATGGATTCCGTCTTAAGTTCAATTTTGTTTCAATTATCTTCTTTATTTTCCAAACGAAGCCAAAGACTTCAAAACTCTCCAAAGAGTTCTTGCAATTCCTTTCTTAAATCTTCTATAAAAGCCAGTCTTTCAGTTTCCTAATTGAATATGTTAACTTTAGCTCTGGCAAAGACATAAAAACTAAATTTCTCTGATTCAGAAAACTTTAATACACGTTCCAGTTTTATGTTAATGATTTTCATTTTGTGAAACTTTACTCAGGTGTAGTTAAACATGTTTTATAGGTGTGAATGAGGCACAAAATTGTGGGATATAGATGACATCCCAGAGTGACAGTTACGTTGATTATACAGTCGAACCTCTCTAATACGGACACCGAAGGGACAGCGAAGTGTCCATATTAGAGAGGTCACTATGATTACGTCACTTTTAAGACCCCACTGACAGGTTAGAGTGTTCAGTAAGTAAAATCAAGCCCAAAACTCAGTGTCTTGTTAATTTCTGAATCTAACTTGATTAATGTTATTGTACTTCTCAGTTACATGCTGTACATACGAATTTTGTCTTCGCCTAAGACATGTTCTGGTATTGGTATCGCTGACTGATAAAGTGTCAATGCTTGTGTAACTGCCGACAGGAAATGGTACATTTTCCCCAAATTATTGACACGTTGTTCCAGAGTGTCCATAATAAAGAGGTTAAGTTTGTGTGAATTTGCTCCCAAGGGCCAAGATTTTGTGTCCATTGTCCATATTATTAGAGAGGGTCGGTAGAGGAAAAATATGAGAATTTTGCCAGTACATAGGAAACTGTCTGTAATAGAGACGTGTCCGTATTGGAGAGGTGTCCGTACCAAGAGATTCAACTGATATGTTACAGGTTAAATTTGATTTCAGGTTAATTTGGATTTAACCTAGGTTGATTCTCCATTTTATTTGTCTCCTAGCCCTAAGAGACAAAGGAAATTGAAAATCAACCTACCAGTAGGTGAAAAAAAATTTAACCTGAAATCAAATTTGACCTGTAACATATACAAGGAATTTCAACATTAATAGTTATTTTTACATCTATAATACAAGTTTAAGTGTGACAGAGTCACTTGAAAGCGATTCTAACCTTCATCTGGCGATTTAGTTGCCCTTGGGCCAGCCATGTCTGTACGTACCCAGCCAGGACAACACTATCCAGCAGGAAATAAGAAAATAATACAGTTAATACTCCTGTTAGACTGTTCACAGTCCCCTATTTAAATAATACCCCAAGCCTAGCCTGGCGATGGCCCCTCAGTACATATGAAACTAAGATGGCCGGCTGTACCAGTAAGTGCTTGTTCCTGAGGATCTTATGAAAACATAGAGGACTGTGAACAGTCTAACCTCCCATAAGCGACCACCTGAAATGCAAAAACTTAGCGGTCGCTTACAGGAAGATTATTTATTGCATGCAAATTCTAAATTACAATATGTGCAGTTACATGCTGTCACAAAAAGATCTTCATAAACTTTGAGTAGCATAGCACATACAGTGAACAGAGAGATTAAACCATGTATCATTGAGTGATCGCTTGCAATCTAGGTTAATAACTTTTGATAGAAAATTATAAAATTATCATTCACAGAAAGAAAGTGGGCGTGGGCACTTACAGGAGGTGGTTGTTTATGAGGGGTTTCAACTGTATGGCTTTGAACAGTTTTTTGGGTAAGCGGTTGGTTTTGGGAGGGGGCTTGTTAATAAAGGGGGTTGCAGAGGGGGGGTGGGCGGTGCAAAACGTAAAAGCTCCCACTATCGTTATAGGTTTTAGGACCATCTATTTGTAAAAAAAAAAAACATCCAGTTATACCCCCCCCCCCCCCCATATATAAACACACATCTGAATGTATTGACTTGAATTCAATTTAATACAACATTTTGAAAATAAACTAAAAACCACTAAATGCAAAAGGAATTTTGATTAGCACGACGATCAGCACTGCTACAACTTGTTTCGGCTGCTTTTTCTATTCTAGTAAGTTATAAGCCCCCTTGGATATATGTTGTGGGTCAATTTTATTCTTGGTTTATATTTTCTTTTCTTTTTGTTTCAAACTCATTATCATACATTACCATACCCAGAAACAAAAGAAAATAAAATTTAAACCAAGGATAAAATTGAACCACAGTTCATATATGCCCATCTGTTTATAAGCCTACTAAAACCCCTTACAAAAATGTATAAGCTAGCCCAGGGCTTATAAGTGGCAGTTTACAGTGCTACATTTAAGGCTTTTAAGATCTCTTAAGGCTTTTTATGATTTTAGATAGATTTAGATCATGGACCCAGCCTTAGGAAATGCATCTCTAAATGCCTATTTTATTAACAAATAACTGACTCACAGCATTTAATAGGATGTCTTCTCTAGGATCCTTGGACAATGCTCTTGCCTGGATCTTACTCAAGGCTGTTACACCAATTTTTGAGGTGCCGTATGCTATAAGAAAAAGAAAACTGAGCTGGCAGAAATTTCAATTCATAACTACTGTAGATCCTCTATTAACACCCCCCCCCCTCCCCTCCCCTAATTATTCTTCACTAATAATGATAGACAATCATTCACAACTGTAAAACTTCATGTGCACTGATCCGGGATGGTTTATTTACCATGACTTTGGATTTGATTCTGATCTTCAGCCGCATGACCTCCAATCTTCTTGTACTTAAGCTTTACCACTCCCTATTCTAGCTCTTAATAGAGAACTGATACCATAGTCTTAATAATAGTCGTAATTGTAATTAGTGTCTACTACTGTTGTTAATTGGTTAATTGCATTGTACTGGTTGTGGAGTTATTTTCATAACTCTATCTTTATTAAAATAAACATTAACTTTATATATTAAAAACAAAAAACAAAAAAAAAAGTTTGTGAAGTCTGTATGTATAATTTTCATGACTTTGTGAACCATATCTTGCATCAAAGGGTCATTTTCACACTTGGCAAGTTAACTAATTTTAATGCACTGTTTGCATTAACTGGCCCATACCAAAACCTGAAAACCATGTAAAGGTCTATTACTGATAGATTGAAACTTTAAAACAATAAATTCATTGTAATGGAATCTTCCTAATTATGGAGCATGCTTGAGCTTCTTCAACGAACAACTTATATTATCAATTAATGTTTACTAAGTACTTAACTTTCTTTTACATGGTTCAATTTGTTTGTTTGTTTATTTACAACATGAAATATGAGATTTCTCTTGAACTCTTAGGTCTGTACACCCTTGCACCAGGGTGAAAAACGTTCACCTTTATACTTGCATTAAGGTGGCTTGACTGGATTTTTTTGAGGGGATACCTCCGACGTTTGAGCTTTAACTACGTCGGCATGAGTAAAGATACAGCAAAAAGATTACCACAACTGTATTATATAACGATGAAAATTTTTTTACGATTTGGGTTTTATTGCTATCGGAGTCGCCATGGCAACATAATGACGCCATTACGCTTTTTATTTATCTTTTTGTTTCTCTCTACCAGGAGTTTTTTGAAGAAATCGCTTAAGGGAGTATGTTCCTGCCATAAATGACTCCATTATGGCAAAGTTTCAACAAATTCTATGAGGGCGTTTTCGAAATATTTTGACACGCAGTTTTAACAATCATAAAAACAGTGAAATAGCATGCTATCTATACAATTCGCTAATATTTGAAGAAACTGATAAGCTTTGGAAACGTGGCTTCATCCTATAGTGGTTTGATTCCATTGAAAACTGCATACAAAAAAAGAGGGGAATTGCTCTGAGCGATCGAAGAATTTTATTGACTTGCATTCAGCTGCTTTTGTTATAGTTTTTGGATGTAATTTGGTCCATGCCTACAAATTTCGCATTTTTCAAAAAACCGCTCGATAATTTTTTTTTATAAATTCGACAATCTGGAGATCAATTGTCAATAAATATTCCCTGCAAGTTTCAAGAACATTGAAAACAGGGACGGCTTTTAAATAGGGCCTCAAAATAATATAACCAATTTTTTCCCCCGATTTTGGGTTTACAAGTGAGCGTCCTCTTTATTCACTGGCATTGTTTTCAAGTTTCATATGCACGTGCACAACTAGCAAAAGATATAAATTTGCATCAAAAAGAACTCTCAATTACTTTCCGAAGAAATATCCGGAATATGCTAGTAATAATTACTAGCATATTCCGGATATTTCTTCGTCACAAGCCAATTATTGGCTTGTGACACCGATAGCAGTGAGAGCCGAAACGATGAACGTCACCTCTCATCGTGAAGGATGCAATACTTAATTATCTTACTCGGGTTATAACATCACAGAAACTCTTACAAAGAATTGTTCTGATGTTATAATGTATCACTAATCTCTTTACCCAGTAATTAGCATATTCCGGAGATATAACCGAGGGTCCTTTTTGATGCAAATTCTATCTTTTTGCTAAATGTGCACATGCATATGAAACTTGAAAACAATGCCAGTGAATAATGAGGACCCTCACTTGTAAACACAAAATCTGGGGAAAAAATTGGTTGTATTTGAGAACCTATTTAAAAGCCTTCCCTGTTTTCAATGTTCTTGGTAACGTTTTTCCCATATCTTTACTCATGCTGACGTAGGTAATGCTCAAACGTGGGAGGTACCCCCCCAAAAAAATCCAGTCTAGCCACCTTAATCCTCACTCTTTGGATAAATGAGAGTAAATACCAAAGTGCAGTAATATACAATAATTTATAAAGAGCTTACTATTATCAATGTCATTATTATTGTCCTTACCACTATTTGACCATCCCTTGGTTTGATGAACACCATCCTTCACATCTCTGGTAAGCAAGAGTACAACAAAATCCACTTAAGGTGATATTCATGTGTAAATGAGTGAAGTTCAACTCCCACAGGACTGGTTTAGCACACCAAAATGGCCACCATTTCAGAGTTTTGGAACCAAACTTTTAGCTAGATGGCCCCAAGAGAAACTGAAAACAATCCTTATGCAAAATTTTGGGGTGACAAACAAAGAGCATTATGGTATGTTATGGTATTTTCTGTAGTGGTCAATTTCTGAAATTCAAAGCAAGAGTAAAACAAACAAAGAGTAAAGAGAATAAAAGCTTACTTGACAAATTGTTCCAGAAGAGAAATAAGAGCTTCCTCTGTCAGCTCTGGATCTCTGAACTTCTTTTGCATTTCTTCTGACACCTGAGATAGGCGACTGGACATCGATGATACATTCACCACCCTGTGAACAAACAATCAATGAAAACGTACATGTTTTTTTTTTTCTTCACAAATTTAAAGCACCCTCCCCACTGAATAGTTGCTCAATCCAACTGAGCCAAACTAGCAAATAAGCACCTCCATTCCCCGCTAACCTTGCTTTAGCAAATTTCGAGGTTATCTTGTCATCTGAATTTGATAAATTATCACAAGGAAAGGTCGCTATCTTCTCTTACGTTCATTGTTTCAAACTTTGTCTCAGGCACTGATTTTGGAGAACAACAGTTGATAATAAGTTCCAGTTATCTCTCTATGGACTTAATTTTGTGCCTCAGATGCAACCTCACTGCCAGAGTTCTCCCCTGTTGTTACAGGTGTTTATATCAAATAATATTATGATGATTTAGCGTAAACAAAGTGTCATGTAAAAACCAAACAAGAGCCTACATTTGTTTGATCACAACCTTGAGCTTAAAACTTAAGCATATTTGAAAACTTCCAATTTGAGCTTTCAACCATCCACAAAAGTCCTGTTGATTTCATTTGCACTGGTGCAGATTGAGGTGACCAAGACTTCTTAATTTGGAAGTTTTCAAATACATGTAGGTCAATATTTAAGCTCAAGATTGTGATCACAGTTTATATTACTGCATAGATAAATCTGAACAAGTGTAAATAAGCACCTAGCTACATTAAGCTGCTCTCTGTTCTCAAACAAGTACCCACAATGAGGGACAAAAGTGTTGACACACTTCTGTAAAATGGCCCCTTTTTGCATAGTGGATATACTTATCCCCTTCCCCTGTCTACCCCAACCCATTGCCCCCAAAATCAATGTTGAATTTTGGACCCTCAAGTCTTTTTTTTACTTCAGACAACATTGATTCGGGGGGTCGGGGGATTTACGGCGTTTAAAAGGAATGAAATAATAAATGAATGAAATGTTTGTTAAAAGCACCCGTTTTAAACAACTGTGTCAACTACTTTTGTCCCTGATTGTCTGAAATATGTATCTGTGTTTTCCGGCTAGCTTTTTGACGCTGCTGAATTTTTGTGCGATGACGTTACTCTATGGGCCAAATTGTTTGTTTTTAAATATCAATTTATAAAGTTTCGTCCTGATTTGTAGTATGCGTAGAGTAAAATGTACGAAGCGTATGTCATTACTTAATCTTGTACCCCGGCGCGCGTTCCTGATACCCTGTCGGGTCGAGACGAAATGATTTGTGTTGTGATCAATGCCGTTGCTGCGGATGTAATGTTTTCACAAGTATTATCAATAGTGGAAAAAGGATGGAAACATTAAGGTACAATGAAAATTGTTCTGGTAAATGGTTAACTTAAGCGAATGAAGTACTGCAGAGTAACAGAGGGGACATGCAATATTTTTGACATTGACCTTTGCCATTAGTGAAAAGACGTGAACAATATACAGGTTATGAACCTCATAAATGATGGGCTAGCCGTTTGTGCTGTGCCCTACATATAGATGTGTTTTTTAATTTTTTTGAGACCTTTTCTAACCTAACTGATCCAAACCTTTAGCGTAGGTAGGCGTCGAGGTTAGGAATGTACTTTGGTAATGATTTTACAGGACCGCCTGCCATTTATTCAGTGGCATGATTGTTTATTGATGTTGGACGGACAACTATTTCATTTCCCAGCTCGTAAATCACATAATGCCAAATAAATTGTTTTCAAAATAGACAGACCAGTTTGTATCATCGCCAAAACAGCAATGACTTTGGCCCAGAAGTTCACCTGATGACAAGCAAAGCGGGATAACACGTGATCGATGACGGCCGTGCGCTGGAAAATTTTCCTTTTTTATGCGCTAATTCCTCACAAAAGGCAAAAGAAGATTCCGCTATGTAGAAAGTGCTTGGCAATACGTATTCTTGGCGAGAAAAATTCCAGCGATGTGGTGCAAATAAGGAGTTTCAACGGTTAACCACGAGAATACATATCGACATTAAGAGGTCATAACAGACTAATATTACTTTCCGTTTGCCGAAACGTGGTTAACCGTTGTAACACGAAGGAAGCAGTGTTTTCCTCAGTTTGAGCTGTCGTTTTCTTTGAGAGTCAAATACCAGTTCACGTTTTAAAGCTCTCTTTTCATTTTCTCTGCCGACAATACACAAAAACACAGGGTTTCGCTTGAGAAATGCAGTCGAAATACACAGACATATGCGCTTATGTCACGCTATTTGCGTTGCGTTATCATGTCACACAGGGTGTCACGAGGTGAGATTGAAAGTAATTGTTTTCGTGTACACTTGCAATGTTTGCTACGCTGTCCTTAGTTTTTTTATTGAATTGGCCATGAAATTACCTTCACTTTTCCGTAGTTTCGATAATGAACGCAGTGACGGCCGCTCCTCACTAACGCTCCATATTTCCGTGGCCGGCCAGTGACTATCCCCACTACGTGTCAATCCTTACCCTATCCGTGATCGTTTGGGCCTTAACAATAGGATAAAGTGAAGAACGAGAAATATCCACTTTATTAAAAATATTTTCAGTACGCACCCCCTTGAAATTCATCAAAAGTTGTACATAGGCGCGAGATTCAGCGTCAGCTTTTAGCTTGTAAACCATATCGACGTTAATTCTGGATATCGCAGCCCTTTTATTACGTCATCGCGTAATTCGAATTGGCCCTATAATTCGGTCGCGAATAAGTCTATGTCACCCCCACCACCAATAACATAATTATGTCATTGATTCCTTTAATTTCAGTTAAAATCAGTGTTATACACGGCTCAACTTGTGTGCAGTAGCACAATTTTACATTCCTACAATGAGGGACAAAAGTGTTGACACAGTTCCGTAAAATGGCCCCTTTTTGCATAGTGGATATACTTATCCCCTTCCCCTGTCTACCCCAACCCCTTGCCCCCAAAATCAATGTTGAATTTTGGACCCTCAAGTCTTTTTTTTACTTCAGACAACATTGATTCGGGGGGTGAGGGGATTTACGGCGTTTAAAAAGAATGAAATAATAAATGAATGAAATGTTTGTTAAAAGCACCCGTTTTAAACAACTGTGTCAACTACTTTTGTCCCTGATTGTCTGAAATATGTATCTGTGTTTTCCGGCTAGATTTTTGACGCTGCTGAATTTTTGTGCGATGACGTTACTCTATGGGCCAAATTGTTTGTTTTTAAATATCAGTTTATAGAGTTTCGTCCTGATTTGTAGTATGCGTAGAGTAAAATGTACGAAGCGTATGTCATTACTTAATCTTGTACCCCGGCGCGCGTTCCTGATACCCTGTCGGGTCGAGACGAAATGATTTGTGTTGTGATCAATGCCGTTGCTGCGGATGTAATGTTTTCACAAGTATTATCAATAGTGGAAAAAGGATGGAAACATTAAGGTACAATGAAAATTGTTCTGGTAAATGGTTAACTTAAGCGAATGAAGTACTGCAGAGTAACAGAGGGGACATGCAATATTTTTGACATTGACCTTTGCCATTAGTGAAAAGACGTGAACAATATACAGGTTATGAACCTCATAAATGATGGGCTAGCCGTTTGTGCTGTGCCCTACATATAGATGTGTTTTTTAATTTTTTTGAGACCTTTTCTAACCTAACTGATCCAAACCTTTAGCGTAGGTAGGCGTCGAGGTTAGGAATGTACTTTGGTAATGATTTTACAGGACCGCCTGCCATTTATTCAGTGGCATGATTGTTTATTGATGTTGGACGGACAACTATTTCATTTCCCAGCTCGTAAATCACATAATGCCAAATAAATTGTTTTCAAAATAGACAGACCAGTTTGTATCATCGCCAAAACAGCAATGACTTTGGCCCAGAAGTTCACCTGATGACAAGCAAAGCGGGATAACACGTGATCGATGACGGCCGTGCGCTGGAAAATTTTCCTTTTTTATGCGCTAATTCCTCACAAAAGGCAAAAGAAGATTCCGCTATGTAGAAAGTGCTTGGCAATACGTATTCTTGGCGAGAAAAATTCCAGCGATGTGGTGCAAATAAGGAGTTTCAACGGTTAACCACGAGAATACATATCGACATTAAGAGGTCATAACAGACTAATATTACTTTCCGTTTGCCGAAACGTGGTTAACCGTTGTAACACGAAGGAAGCAGTGTTTTCCTCAGTTTGAGCTGTCGTTTTCTTTGAGAGTCAAATACCAGTTCACGTTTTAAAGCTCTCTTTTCATTTTCTCTGCCGACAATACACAAAAACACAGGGTTTCGCTTGAGAAATGCAGTCGAAATACACAGACATATGCGCTTATGTCACGCTATTTGCGTTGCGTTATCATGTCACACAGGGTGTCACGAGGTGAGATTGAAAGTAATTGTTTTCGTGTACACTTGCAATGTTTGCTACGCTGTCCTTAGTTTTTTTATTGAATTGGCCATGAAATTACCTTCACTTTTCCGTAGTTTCGATAATGAACGCAGTGACGGCCGCTCCTCACTAACGCTCCATATTTCCGTGGCCGGCCAGTGACTATCCCCACTACGTGTCAATCCTTACCCTATCCGTGATCGTTTGGGCCTTAACAATAGGATAAAGTGAAGAACGAGAAATATCCACTTTATTAAAAATATTTTCAGTACGCACCCCCTTGAAATTCATCAAAAGTTGTACATAGGCGCGAGATTCAGCGTCAGTTTTTAGCTTGTAAACCATATCGACGTTAATTCTGGATATCGCAGCCCTTTTATTACGTCATCGCGTAATTCGAATTGGCCCTATAATTCGGTCGCGAATAAGTCTATGTCACCCCCACCACCAATAACATAATTATGTCATTGATTCCTTTAATTTCAGTTAAAATCAGTGTTATACACGGCTCAACTTGTGTGCAGTAGCACAATTTTACATTCAGACAATGAGGGACAAAAGTGTTGACACACTTCTGTAAAATGGCCCCTTTTTGCATAGTGGATATACTTATCCCCCTCCCCTGTCTACCCCAACCCATTGCCCCCAAAATCAATGTTGAATTTTGGACCCTCAAGTCTTTTTTTTACTTCAGACAACATTGATTCGGGGGGTCGGGGGATTTACGGCGTTTAAAAGGAATGAAATAATAAATGAATGAAATGTTTGTTAAAAGCACCCGTTTTAAACAACTGTGTCAACTACTTTTGTCCCTGATTGCAGGAGCTTCAAAAAAGCACATGGGTGCTTATTTGAGCAATTAAGGTATATCAATGAAATAATATTGCTAGGATTGTGCTAAGATCAATAATATTCTAACCTTGCATGTGGCCTTAAGAGTGGGAACAGTGCATGGCAGACGTCAAGGGTCCCTTGGAAATTTGTCCGTAACGTTACCTCAGCTTGCTCTGTAAAAGGTGCTGTTGAAGCCATCTGGAAGCAAGAATTTTGCACATTTAAATTGTTACTACTCTGACAGTGATATCTGTATAAAGCTGACATTCACAGTACAAGGATTACAAGGTGTTGACTATATAAATACAGTGTTCTCCTTACAGGTGGTAAACAGTAAAATTTACCACCCGAAGCAGCACTTCTTACCACCTACAACTGTTTGAAGGTTTACTAAAATCAAATATTGTAGTTTATAAAAAAAACACACAAGTTGTGATGTGATCCGCTCAAGGAAATGAATGAATATGTGGAAAAGTACTAAAGTATACACAGCTTTTCTTTTTATGGGCCAAGCATGTTGGAAAGAGAACATTGAAGACAGAGTAAAATTATTGGAATCAAATGTTTGATTGCTGTCTAAAGATAACAATGGCCGATTTGGGTAAAACAGGTATTGAAATGAGGGAACGACATTTCAGAGAACTTAACTCCTAAATTTCCAAGCGAGTGCAGGGCCATGCCCCTCTCTCCACTAACCCCCTCCCCTCAGGAAAGTGCAGTCTCCGGGGCATTTTTGGCCTTACTGGCCAAGAATGGTTCCTTACCTACTGAGCTAAAATTTAAGGAGAACATTGTAAATATAGTAAGAGATTAATGCAAACTATAAGCCAGGAGATTACACTGATTTCTGTAAGCATTGATGAAGCAGCCAGGAGAATGCTTTTGTTCCCCACCCTGCCCTCTCATAAGAAACTTTTGTCCATGAGAAAGTCATCTCAAACAGCATGTTACCAACACATTGATTTATCCAGTTTGGTGTTGGGTGAAGATTGCAGACCAGGTACAACAATCTTTTTTGTAAAGGATCATTAGATTGTCTGAGTTCCAACGAATTAACCACTCATTAGTCACCATGTCTCATCTTTGCTAAGGTTTCACAATATAAAAAAACTTCTTAACTCAACAAGAGTAGTGTCTCATGTTTGTCACAAGTCAATGAATCTGATCTAGTGGTTACAAGCCTACTTTAAAATTCAGTTGTCCAAGTAAGTAAATCAACAAAATAAAAGGAAAAAATAACCTTGTAAGCAATTCCCGCATTATTGATAAGGATATCTATGCCCCCATACTCTTGTTCAAGGAATGTTTTAAACTTCTGGATGCTTTCTAAGGATATAATATCCAGCTGATGGAACTTTGGTGAGCAGCCTTCTTTGTTCAAGCTTTTCACAGCTTCTTGACCTCTTTGCTCATCTCTTGCTATAAGACGTGAAGAAAAGCCAAAAACACTGACTTTAAATAATATTGTTTTATTGAAAGTAGCAATCCTTTTATTTTGCTATACCAAGGAAGCCTTGGTTACATGCAAGTATAATTTTTATGATGGAGGCAGCATTTGGTTGAGAGCCCTGAACGTCCAATGGGAGGTCTGAATTTCAAGTCCCACCCTGACAGCCAACTGCGTTTGTTTCTAATATAACAGCTTCAAGTCGAAATCCTCCACCACACTTGTAAATAGTCAACCGTTCCCTTTTTCAGTCTAAACCAACTTCGACACTACTTATGCATAGTTTTTAATTTGCTTCTGCTTATAGTATAACAGTTCCACTTGAAACACTGCCCTTCAGAGTTAGTCAAGATCAACTCCCTCCCTAGGCCAAAAGAGACTTGCTCCCATCCAAGCGTGCTTCATT